AAAAAAAGCAAAACATATCTATACTATTAGAGCTTTATAGCATGTCTGTTACCATTAAAAGCATTCTAATTGGCTTATTTATAGTAGTATACAAAAACCAAGAAAAAACTAAAATTTGCTTTTGAATTTATAACTTAATGAATTCAGCTTCTAAAAAATCTAATTAATAATAAAAGGAAAATTAATATCCATAGTAAGACTATTCAAAATGAGAATACTAGTTTAGTCTTGGATCTGTTATTTGTAAGATACTAAATATACTAAATTTAATAGTAAATTCCACTAGATATTAATATTAATTAAATTTAATATAAAACAGATCCAAACTCTATATTGGTTCAAATAACCTAATAGCTAACAATAAAAAATTTTTATATATTGTACTTATAATTACTATATAATAAGTTTATTAAGTTGCTAACTCAAAAGTCTAGCCTGATTTAATATTTAATACAAAATTTAAAGAACTGTAATAGGTTTTGTGACAGTACTAATGATAGAATTACTAATATAGTAAGTTTTGTAACAATACTTACAACAGAAATTAAAATAATTCTAATAAAACCAACTCATCTTTACAACTTATTATGGTTACCAAAAATTGTGTGTAATTTCTTAATAGAATTTTTCAGTCGCTCATGATAGAAATTATATTTATTTCAATAAAATCTAACTCATATTAATTAAATATTATAAGCAACTAGAATAGTAAGTTCTGTAATAGAATAATTCATAGTAAATTATAATAGAAACTACAACAATTCTAGTGCAAATAGTGTTGGCTTGACTAGCCTATTTTGACCATTGGACCAGACCAATTTACCAATTTGACTGGTCTGGTTAAAGATCTGAACTAGTCAAATTAGTCAAACAGTATATTTAAATATAATTTTTTAAATAATATATATTATGTTTATATGATCGATTTGACTAATTTGACCATAAATTTTTAGTTAACCACTAATTTGCTCAACACTGAATGCAAACCATCCCAGATTTAACTGTCATTTAATAACAAGTAAGTTCTATAATAGATTTTTTATAGATAGAAATAAATAATTTTTATGTAAACAATTTTATTTAATTATATATTGTTGTCACTGGCATAAAAATTTAATAGAACTTTAAAGGCACTATATAGATTTGTATATGTAGAATCACTTGCTTGGCTATAGTACTGAACTGAAGTATCATTAAGGTACTCCACTATAAAGGTTCAATTAAAAAAAATACTGCACAATTTAAATTTATTTAAGCAATTCTTTATTATTATTCTTCACTAACTCATTTTAGAGATTTGCTTGCCTTTATATTACAGATTATTATTGTATTATATACATTAGACTATTAATAATTACTATTTAATTTATACAAATCCACATCATGCCATTTATGCAATGTAATTACACTACATGATTCTGAACCTAATTACCTAGTGCTACAAATTTCTGAAAACTAATTAACCCATCACACTGGAATAGTAAGTAAGTACTGTAATAAAATTTTAAGTAGTTAATTCTAATACAAACTAACTCGCTTATCTTAATCACATATTATAATCAATGGAATAGCAGGTTTGTAACAAATTTATTTGCAGTAACTCACAATAGAAATTATGACAATTTTGATATAAACTAACTTTTCTTAACCACATATTGTGTATTGGAATAAGTAAGTTTGTAACAAAATTATTTACAATAACTTACAAAAAAATTGTTTACACTAACTTATAATAAAAATTATAACATCTCAGTGTAAAATTTAATTGCATATTATAATCATCAGAATAGTGAATAACAAAATTTGTTTACAGTAGCATGCTTAGAATTATGATAATTTAATGTGATTAACTCATATTATTTAGAAAAGTAAAACAATTTCTAGGTGGCTTATGAGTAAATATTGATTTGCCAAATATTTTATTTTTGATAAAACTGTATAGATCACTGCTTACCTATATAATCACCTTATTGTCATCCAATTGTATAATTGTAAAGTGAGTTCTTAAACAAAAATTCAATATGCATATATAATATTCATAATCTTTGTTAGAAGGAGCTATACTCACTAAAATTGTTTTATACAATTACACAATCAGACAATAATCAAGTTGATTATATAGGTCTGCAACAATCTACAAATTTAATTAAAGATAAATCATTTTGCAAATCACAATAAATACAAACTAACTCATATTAAACACTTGGTGTGGTTATCAGAATAGTGAGTATTTTCTGTAACAAAATTATTTACATAGATTACAACAATTTTAATGTTAATTAACTTATAAAATAGAGAGTAAGTTTTGGAATAGAATTTTATAAGTAACTAAAGATAATAGAAATTATAATAATTCAAATTTTTAAGACATACAGAAATATTAATATAAGTGACTCTTTAATTAATAAAGGCTTTAATGTTCTGTTTGTCACTTTTAACAGATTAGATTAGCCAATTTTAGGTTCAGTAATCTATTCATATGTTGATCACTTTTTTTTTTTTAAGGCTAGGCTTATCAATTCCGTTCACTTATTTTAAACTCTTAAAAAAGAATGACCAATGTGCCGAATCATGGTAATGGCGTGGGTGATCAAATTCGTATGTTATGGGGCATAAATAACAATAATCCCATGAGCTTGGCATAGCGATCGGTGACTAGTAGGTGTATATAGTTTTTTAAATTGGTATTCTATAACATTTACCATACTATTTTTGCTTAATATTATTATACTGATTTTCTGTAATCATAATTTTGATTATCTCACATCTTTTAGGTTTAGAGAGCAACACAGCTTAAAACAGATTTCAAAATCCTATCGTAAATATTACACAAGAAACAAGCATATTGTCTTAGCAAAGATATTTCATTGCAATCTTGAAAATAATTTAAGTATGGCATAGTGTGTTATATTATTAAATAAAAAAATTAAATAAATAATAAATTATTATTCTGATTGATGAATTATTATATTGAGAGAAGTAAATCTTACTTCAAGCCTTCAATTTTATAATTTATAAATTATAAAATTGATGGCCTGAAGTAAGACATCAATCAGAATAATAATTTATTATTTATTTAATTTTTTTATTAAATAATATAACACACTATGCCATACTTAAATTATAATTTAAATTTTCTAGATTGCAAGGAAATATCTTCTTGTGTAATATTTACGATAGGATTTTGAAATCTGTTTTAAGCTGTGTTGCTATCTAAACCTAAAAGATGTGGGATAATCAAAATTATGATTACAGAAAATTAGTATAATAATATGGAGCAAAAATAGTATGGTAAATGGTATAGAATACCAATTTAAAAAACTATATACACCATACTAGTCACCGATCACTATGCCAAGCTCATGGGGATTATTATTATTTATGCCCATAACATACGAATTTGATCACCCACACCATTACCATGATTCGGCACATTGGCCATTCTTTTTTAAGAGGCTAAAATAAGTGAACAGAATTGATAAGCCTAGCCTTAAAAGAAAAAAAGAAATACATATGAATAGATTACTGAACTTAAAATTGGCTAATCTAATCTGTTAAAAGTGACAGACAGAACATTAAACCTTTATTAATTAAAGAATCACTTATATTAATATTCCTATATGTCTTAAAGCTTTGAAAAATATTGAAAAATGAAAATTTTCATTGCTATTCATTATTAGAAAAAAAATAAAGAAATTATACCGATTTTTCAGTTAGGAGACTGTAATTTGAACCGGAACTATTTATGAGATCGAAAACCGAAATTATTAGTTCGGTTACAGGTTTTTAATTATTTTTATTAATTAACCAAATATATGTATAATATGACAATACGATCTAATCATTTATATTAATTACTAAATATAGATTAGTCCCGTAGCCAAAATTCCGGATCGGAATGGGTCAGAATTGATAAAATTTGCTAATAATCCAGTAATTCAATAGTTAGTTATTATTATTGCTTATTGCTGGCCTGACACTGATGTATTCCGATTCTAAACTTTGGTCGATCTGCTAAATTTTGATTACGCAACTGTAAATTGCTTGGTTCTTCCGAAGGGTGAATTAAGATCACACATGTAAGAATGACTACAGAACTAACAATGATATTGATAGATAAATGATGAAAAAAAGTAACACACCGAGATAAAAAAAAAAAAAAAAAGATAGGCTAAATTTAGAAATCCAAAATGTATAGAATCTCTTGAGAACTACTAAAAGAAATTTTGTTATATATAGCATCATTTAACTATGTATATTAATTATATAGTATAGCGTGCCAATTCGAACTAAAAAAGTATCAAATGAGTGCCGCTAAGGGAAAACCCAGAATTTTTAATTCGGAAATTCCGCTTTTTAGAATAAGCAATTAGTGTGAAGGCCTGTAACTGCATATAAATGTAAAATAATGTCCTGGGTGTTGTTTTGACTTCTAAAATAACTTACATATGGTCTCGAATTAATGCTTACGGGCGTCCCGAATTAACGTTATAACATAATTATTGTGCCGATAAATGATATACTGTACAGTACAGTCAATACATCATTTGACAGGCACATTCCCTATAATGATAAGCGTGCGTTATTAATATATATACGTACGTACGTACGTACGTAGATTATTCTTCATAAATGAATAAAGAAAGTCTGCTTTTGGAGTGTCGATTGTATATCATTTATCACAACAATAAATTATGTACTACACTAGATTGTCAGCAAAATTTATCAATTCAGAATCGATCGCTGAATTTTGGTATAGTATTTTACAAAGTGCCAAATCTATCGATATAAAAAGGTGTATTAATTGAATTTCAATAAAGATGCGATCTTGACATACAGTTTTCCACCTTCATAATCACGTGGTTTGTTTTACATAAAAGATGTGATTATAAAATTTTATTATGTATCTCTAAAAAATGTATAAAGGAACGTGCTTTTTTTCTAACAACATTCCACTAAATCATTATACTAAAGCATTTACTTCTATAAAACAATAAGCAATGAAACAGCAAAATATTATTTCCTCAAGTTACAGAACATCTCCCTCCAAATACATGCATAACCCCTTGTCATACATATTAAATATAAAGTTAATTTCTTTAATTTTTTTAATCTTTTTATCAGTACTAATCGAAGCTCCCCCAATACATATTTTTACAGTCTCTAATTTACGGAGATTTGCTTATTACGCTGCTGCTTCTTATTGTAATCTTTCTCTTAATAATTGGGACTGTGGAGAAGTCTGTAAGGCAACCGAGGGTACCCAATTTGTTAAAATGTTTAATGATGATGAATTTAACACAAAAGGTATTTTATATAGTTACTTGGCCACAAAATGTTAACTTTTTGCATTTGCTAACAGAATAATAAATATGTAGGTTATATAGCCTTGGATAAACAAAACAAACTTATCATCGTAGCATATAGAGGAACGATACCAGGAAGTATTAAAAATTGGCATGCTGATTTGGCTGCTTATCAAGATTCTTATAACCCTGTGCGTGGTGTTAAAGTACACCATGGATTTTACAAACCTGTACGTGGTGTTAAAGTTCACCATGGATTTTACAAAACTTTTAAGAGACTTCAACCCAAAATTACTGATGTTGTTATAAGATTACACCAAAACAATCCCAATTTCAGGATCGGACTTATAGGTCACAGTTTAGGTGGTGGTAAGTTCAACAAATTAAAAAAAAATTACATATTTAATTGCAACTTTTTAACAGTCTATATTTTTTTTATTGTAGCTCTTGCTGCACTTTCAGCATTAGATTTAATGCAAAAAGTTCCACATTTGGTTAACAATGATGCATTGTTCCTTTCTACATTTGGTCAACCAAGAGTTGGCAATAGTAATTTTGCTGAATATGTTGATAATAACCTAAAATTAATAGCAAGAACTATAGTTCATGGTGATCCAGTTCCTCGTTTGCCTTCATCAAATCCAATTCCATATTTTGGGTCTTATAAACATTTTGGTGAAGAATTATATATAAATAATCCTAATGAAGATCCAAATAGCTTTATTGTATGTAGTTCTGAAAATCCAAATTGTTCTTTATCAGTACCTTTGACGCAATTAAACTTAAAATATCATTCGGGTCCCTATTATGGTGTTAGTATGAGAGCTTGTTCTGAACGTTCCACTTCACTAATAACAGATCATTAGGACTATTTTTACTGATATAACCGCACTGCTTCTAGTTTATCTTGTTTAGGAAATCCACATGAATTAACAAATCAATTCGTAAAATTTTTAGGATGCAAAGAAAGATGAAAATATAATAAGAGTGTGTTTAGATTGTAGATTAACTTTATCATATGATATCATATGGGGTATTTTCAATAGAAACTATCTATTTTTACATATATCTTATTTTGAGATAATTGAGTTTAATCATTTTTTGCTTTTTGGACTGATCCGGGATCAATCAAATAGTAACTGTATGAAGTTGTCACGTAAAACCAGGAATGGAAGGTGGATTTCAGATCGAGTTGCAGATTAATTAGTATATAGTTTCAACATGAAATTCTCGTTAACTGTAATACGTACTTAATTTCATTGATTTCGCCATCATTCACTAGCTTCGCCTATAACTCTAATCTTAGCTTTACATGTATAGCAAGTTTGTATCATAGCATTCTAATTGGTTTTAATATTATGATCTAGTGTAGAGACTGGAACTCGTATCTTAAAAATCATAGTCTTGACTCGAGTTAATTCGAGCTAAGACTATGTTTTTTAAGTTACGAGTTGACTCGTGTCCAGTCTCTAATCTAGTGTAACAGATAATTTTTCCCCATGTATCTCACTTTTATATTTGTCTAATTCTTTGAATTGTATATTAATCACACCTCAGTAATCTGGTAACTTAAAGTATGTAAACGCGAATACGCTCTGAATTCCTTTTTAAAATTCCTCTCAAAAATTCCTCTCAAAAATTCCTCTCTGAAATAAAAAATACATAAATTCACTTTCCTTTTATAATAAATTCCTAATAATCGAGTTCCATAACTTATTGTCCAGTTCACATGATCTTCTTACATCAACCATAAGAGTTAAACTCTCTTTTGACGTGACACTAGGCTCGATCCTAATAAAAATTCAATTAGCTTTGCGATAACCATTTTATTGATAATGAATCACTAATTATATATATGGGTGAAAATTTTAATAGAATATTGTAATCACACTTGGAACTGTCTTTTTATTCATATTCTTTATTGGTCCCTTCCTTACTTCCAGCTAGCAACACGGAATGGTCAGGTAATAAAAATTCTGTGCTATAGCATAAAGCGATTAAAATTTACAGCTAAGAAAAGCAATTTACCAATTAAATATATTGATGATTTGAATTTAGTTTGAGTTCAAATTTTAGAAGTTTGATCAAACTCAAACTCAAATCAAATCAAATCTAGAAGTACAAGGTTTAGTTCAGATTTATAAATTCAAAGTTCAGTTTATGTTCAGGTTTAAAGATTTGCAAAATTTGTAGTTTAGATTCAGATTCAGCTAAGATTTATTGAACCTAATCCTGAACTAAACTGAATTTAGAAAATCTATATATATGCTAATGCTAACTAACTATAATTTAACTATAATATTTCAAATCTACTTAATTCTATTTTCACTTACAATATTTATATTTATAAAATCTATCTATCTATCTATTCTATTTATTTATTTTTTATTTATTTATTTTTTTTAAGCGATTATGCTACATGCCTATCCTTTATTGATCATTAATTTAATTTGAAGAAAAAAGAATACATCTAAAAATACAGGTATATAACTTACTTGGTTATCTAAATAGAATACCTAAATATTCATGCATTTGTGTGCGACCTGCTAAAAGTGATTTTTAGTCTTTCTGGTTTGGTTCAACCTATATAAAGCCAACCTGCCCCAGTTTACTAATCTGGTTCACTAGCCTATTATAACTGCCTTCTTTCCCAACCTTCTTCTTCTAATCTTCTAGATAGGAGAATTCTACCAAAGAACAACAAAAAATTTAAGAAATAAAAAGAATAAAAAAAAGGAGAAAAAACTAAACTAAACAAAAACAAAAAAACAAGCAAAGAAAAAAAAAAAAGAGAAAAGAAAAAAAAAGCTAAAAAAAAAACAGCCATGATGGTACTATTTTTGCCTGTACAAGGCTATATAAGTTATATAATGTTGTATAAAATAAAATCTAATCTAACACTATATATAATAAAAGAATTGGAAAAGAAAATTAAAGAAAAATTTAACATTAAAAAATTTTTACACATGATTTTTCAACCTCTAATACACTATTATTGTTTATTTGGCAAAGTATAATCTTATAGAAAATTTTATTTTATTAAATGCATCCTAATTTGAAAGAAGTAAACACTACCAATCCTTTGAAGAGGGTATGCCAGTTTTCTCACTTTTTGGCTAAAAATTTTAAAAATTTCAATATAGTAAAATGTATTTGGTTGCAGGTACTTCTAAAAAAAAATATATAAAAAGAAATCTAAGACTCTAAAAATACTATTATAACCCATGTGTGGTTGGTAAAAATTATATAACAAATACAATATTTGTATATCTCTCTTGTAAAGGTAAAGCTCTGCTTTAATGCTAAAGTTTATTTTCTGATCTTCCCACTGACTTTGGATAGTACTGTTGTTTGAAGATCTATATCAAAGCTACTTTTTATCACAATTAAACACATGATTGCAATCTACTAGTCCATCTGAATTTGGGAAGTAAACAATACTAATCTTTTGGAGAGAATAACCTAAATCTTCACTTTTTGTTAAAAAATTTTGAAAAAAAGGCAGGAAGCAGAAAAAGGATAATAGACACTACTTGGCCAGAAAAAAGAAGTGTAGCTTAAAAAAGCCTGTTCTTTACTGTTTCCTAGTTGTTTTACAACCAAATTCTTTGTCAATAGTATACTTAGACTTCTATTACCTCTACTTATTTGTATACAAGAGCACTCTCTTCTGCTAGTAATCTTTATACTGACTAGAGAAAATGGCATGATAAAAAATTTTGGCATGCCAAATAGGCATGCTATCACTAAAAGGTATGCCAAGATGCTACTCTGGTATACCATTATGGGGCATCCATAAATAACATTATGTTTGAGGGGGGTCCCCTAAAATATAATGATTTTCCAATATTGATAGGGTCCCCAAAATATAATATAATTTTTTTATAAAATTTGTCTAAAATTCGATCCAGTAGTCCAAATTGGATGATTTAGATACCATTTGAATTCTCTCGAGAAGAGGAGTCGAATGGTACCAATTTCATTTGATTTGGATCACTGGATCATGTCTTATTAACAAAATACTATTGGTTATTATGTTTTCTTATAAAATTACTATAAAATTAATAGTATTTCATTAATAAAACGTTATTCAGTAGTCCAAACAAAATGATTTTGGTATCATTGGATTCATCTCATAGAGGCGAATCGAATGGTACCAAAATCATCCTGACTAGATCACTGGGTCATAATATATCCAAGTTTTTGTAAAATTATATATATAAATATATGGATTTTTAAAAATTTTTTATA